CTTTTTTTTTTTTGTTCTTAAAAAAAAAAAAAGAGCTTAGGATATAAATTGAACTAATAAAGTCAGAAGGAGTCATCTATATAAAGAAAAATGTAAACGTTCGTTTGTTCAAAATCTTAAATCTCCGAACGTTCTTCACCGGTTGCTTGGAAATTTCGACACAACGTTGCCCTCGAATACGCGCGTGTTTTTATATACCTGCTATTATACAGATGTCACACCTGTGACACAAACGTGCGCTTTCTCTTTTCTTTCTTTTCCATTTAACCAGACTGAGCCACAGCAACGCGTGGCCGAGTACAGCTATAGTAAGAATATAAAAAGTACCTCCTGGACTGGAGTCAGTTTCCAGCTAGCCCAGCAATTCTCAACCTATGGGTCGCGACCCCATTTGGGGTCAATCGACCATTTCACGGGGGTCGGCAAGCAAGGCTGTCCGCCATTTTTTTTCCCCTTTTCCGGCGGGTGCCTTACCTCCCTTGGGCTGGGCCAGCTGGTGGTCGGCCTGCTCCGTCTCTGCCGCTTGCCAGCTACGCCTCGGCCGGCGCAGGGGGCGGAACCACACATGCGCAGCGCTCCCGGGCAGGGAAAGTCCTCGACTTACGACCGGTTGGGTAGTCCTCGACTTACGAACGGTTTAGACTTACGACTGGTTGGGGGTCGAGGCATTAAAAAGGTTGAGAACCACTGAGCTAGCCAATCTTCCCAGGCTTTCACCACCTCCTGTGGGAGTCGGAGTTCCACAATTCCTAATCCTCACCTTTGCTCCTATCGACCTCCTTTGTTGCCTTCCGGTGCTGGAAGTGACACAACTTTAAAGGCAGGTATGCCCCCATCGGGGGAAAGGCTGTTCCGCAATTGAACCTGCACATTTGTGCCTAAAGAGAATTCCCCGTCCCTGCCAAGCAAAACTAAATAAACAGCGCATCTCGCCAGGTGCCCATTATATTCTCTCAGAAGAAGGAAATTTAATTTTGCTAATGGCTCCCTTTGTGGAGCATGCAAGAACTAGGAGGAAACAGTGAGACGAGAGCCGTGATTTAAGAATATACCTTCTGCTCTTCCGTGCCTGCAGCTCACATCAACTTAATTGCTTTTATTATTCATCTGTTGATTCCACACTTTTGTGTGTGTGCGCACGTCCTTCATTCCTTTTGTGCCAATCAACGCAGATGTCTTTCCTTATTACTAAGGAAAGTCTCTCTGGATATTATTATTCATTAATGTGTTAATTTCTCCCTGGCTGCTGTAATATTTCTCCCTTGATGGCTTTTGCAAATTCTCCTCCTAACAAAAAAAAAAAAGTCAGGCGCCGGGGAGCCCGGCTGGTGTTAAGAAGCGAAAAAAAGGATTGTCCAAGCTGGGCACGTTGTAGAAAGAGGCTAGACTAGATTTAAAAGTGGGTCCTTAAAAAGATCTCTCATCTTTGCTTGGGATCCGAATCGGTTCATTGGTTAAGTCAGGAGTTCTCTCTGTGCTTTGCTAAGGCCAGTGTGAGGCTGCAGCTCACACCAGGGGCACATCACATCAGGCAGCCCTTTTCAGCCCGGCCCCCTCCCAAGAGGGGACTACAACTCCCATTGGCAAGGCACCCAGGAGATGAGCACCAAAATAGCGCTTCCCAAAGGGAATTGAGTT